CGAGGTAAATTTTTGGGGCCGGAGCTGGTCATAACCCGAAAAATTCGCAAGCAGAGGCGTTCGTATCCCGAGGTATCACTGTAGAACTACAGATATTAAGCGAGTGCACGTTCTGCAGTTTACTCACACTTTAAGGCTGTTTTCTTTTGTTTTTTGGCTTTAGTAAACAAGATGGGAATAGCCACAATATAATCATGCAAAAATAAACAACTCTTTTCTTTGAATGTGAAGTGCTAATGGGTTTGTTCATCAAGCTAAGGCACGGGTTCATTATCATTTGCTGAACACCTAACCCCAACCCATCATAACCTATGGTTTACAAATATAGTAGGTATAAATAAGTTATAATTTGTGAAGGCAAGCTTTGCTTCCAAAATCTAAGGCCACCATAAAGACCGGGCACAGAGTTTTACAAGCCTCGTTACCTCTTTCATGTATCCACGGATTCTGCTCTCACAACTATGGCGCATATAGCTGGACTTGGTCTTAAACCGAGATTCAACCCCTAGGCGTGGTGGAAAATGAATGCCGTCAGTCCTCTGCCTTCAACGAACTGTCTCTTGGACTCACAGCCATAAAAAATATTCCAAAATCTAAGCGAGGCTGCCAAATTCTTAGTCCTTAGGGCAGCGTTTCGCAAGCTTCTGATACCCTGAGCATCTTCCCCTCTAGCTCAGACCGAACGCCAGGCAGACTAACGAAACAACCAGCTCAGAACTGACCTTCGAACCACGTCTCGTCTTCCTTTCTGCTTTCTGCAGAAATATTTTCACTGAGATTGTGAATCAGGTCGCCCAGCAACTTGCACCTCTTGGGAGCCTCCTCGCCTGACAGGAGCCCCTGAGCGGCGCGAATGACGCCAGAGGAACTGCTGGAAAAGGTGTTCAGAAAGCGCTCGATCTCACTGACGTCTGCAGGGCCAGAAAGCCAACAATTACTCAGTCTTGCGGATGGTTGGTTTGAATGATTTTTTTTTTTTTAAATGATGCTACAACCACTACATCCTGTTTTGCCGATTTAAAGATTCAGCCTGGGAATGGTGGGAAATGAATGCTGAGAGTTCTCTGCCTTCATGGGGAGCCCACTCGGAGCTCGGCAGCAAAGAATATTTTGAAACCCGAGAGACTGTCAAGTCGCTAGTCCTCAAGGCCGCATCTGCAGAGATTGTCAAGTTGCTAGTCCTCATCAGGACAGCATTTCTCAAAGTTTCCCCCGGAGCGCTAAAAATCCAACCCTAAACCAACCTATATCCTGCCGATTTAAAGATTCAGCCCCTAGAAATGGTGGGAAATGAATGCTGTGAGTTCTCTGCCTTCATGGGGAACCCCCGTTAGCACAGAATATTTCACAACCCAAGAGGCTGTCAAGTCGCCAGTCCTCCGGGCGGCATCTGCAGAGATTGTCAAGCTGCTAGTCCTCATCGAGTTCCCCAAAGTTTTCCCTCTGGAGCACGGGGGAAGAGGCCAACCCTAAACTGGCCCGTTTGCTGCTGGCTGGAAGAGGCGCCGCGGGGGGCTGGGGGGCGGGGGGGGGGGGGGGGGGTGCGTGCGTGCGTGTCGTCCTGGGCCCCCCAGCGCCCCCCGCACTCACAGCCGCGCCACTCCTCCCCGGGGGGCAGCACGATCAG